GGAAAGTAACTGTAATTTATTGTTATTGTGTATTCCATTCCTTTACTCAAGTGTATGTTTCTACCTGAGAGACTGCAGTGTAAAGACAAGAAAATCTATAAAAGGAGTATTATAGCAGCAAATGGAAAAGTAACACAAAATTAATAACTTAACATGACAAAAACAATATGGCAGCAAATAATTTGCTGGCAAGGAGGCTGCAAAGCTGCTGGAGAAAGCTCCAGCCAGGTATTAAAAAGGTAAGCTAGGGAGAACTGGTGCCTTAAAATGCTGAGTGTTTCTAAGAAATGAGAGGTTGGCAGTGGATTGCTCAGTGGAAGAGGTATTCCCATATGCATTAAAAAAAAAAAACCAACTAGAACATCATGAAGGCTGTCCAGTACCACAGGCTGCTCCTTTCAATAGACATGGGGAACAGGCCAAAGTCAGGAGTCCTCCATGCTGCAGGCAGACAGCTAAAGCTTAGGGTCATGAGTATACATTTAAATCTCTTTGCATAGAATATGCAAATATATGCATATAAAGACAGCTTCCTAGCTTTCAGCCATAAACTGACTTTTTGTGAGTTGGTTTGTTTTTTTTTTTGCTATTGTTTTTCTCCAAAAATATATTATCATTGGAAACATAAACATACCTAAATTCTGAGCAGAAAAAACCCATGGAGGACAACCACTTGCCTGTGTTGCATTGTCTTGGTTTAAGACAATTTAAAGGGAACACTCTACAAGTTCTCCCCCTTAGTGTTAATCCCTTTCCAACAATAAGAAGAAACCAAATACTAGTAGATATAAGTGAAAAAATAGCAGTTTTCTAGCAAGAAAACCAGCAACAGGCAAAACAATGTCAGTAAACAATCACTGTTGTATTGTGCTGCTCTCTACATCAGCTAGCCGGGGAAAGAGAAGCAGCAAATCACTCTATACAAAATTGCTAAATCTCACAGACCGCCACCAGAGACAAAGAGAAACTTGAATTTGCAGAGTGACCCATCCTAAGATGCTGCCTGGCACAGATGAGTGTGTGGTTCTAAAGACAAAGGAAAAATGGCAGCAAACCCTCCCATTAAGGTAGGAGCTTTCAAAGCAGTTCTAGTGGCAGATAGGAATTGCCAGGGTATGTGGGATCAGTGTTCCCACTTGCTGCCGCCTCCTGACACCTGCTGGACGCTGTTAGTTTTGGTGTTGTTGCCTTGGGTCCCTACTCCAATGAAAGAGGAGGGAAGAACGGACTTTCAGCATGGATGCGTGGCGGCCTGGCACCAGACCAGCTCTGGCTTAGTTCTGTCCACAGGTGTTGCAAAATAACAGTAAACTCTGAAACCCTCTGAAACAATTTCTGATTGCAAAATGCAGATTCTCCACTTGCTACTGTTGCAAGTAGAGGCAAGAAAAGGCCAAGAGGCAAGCCAAACAGGGAGAGAGAGATCCCCCTGTGTCCCAATTTTTAAAAAGCCCTGGGCTGATAAAACAAAAAGCACGATACAACACACCACCTCCCTGTTCTGTTTTCTGGTGAGGGGGTCTTAAAAAGACAGTAACAATTTTGGGCATAGATAGATAGGGGATACAGTAACATTTTGGGTTACCCGAGATATGCATTAAACCTAGAGTGACTGAAATGGAAATAAAAGAACAGTGAACTCTATCCAGAAGGCACAAAAGGTTCAAAGGCTTGATGGAGCATACCTGTACTTAATGGATAGCACCAGACGGCAGCCTTCAGCTTTAAAGGTCACTGCGTTGCAGGACCTGCATACATTTTATCTGGGGTTGCCTTTTCATGCAGTCAGCTTTGCATTCCCTTACTTTCAATACAGGAAGACTCAGAGGCATTTGAATAGTTTTGTTGTAGTAAAATCCAGTTAATTCTTCCTTCCACACTTCCAAAGGAAGTCCTTTTGTTCCTTAAGAGCACTCCTTCTCTTCTTGCACACAAGCAGCGAGCAGAAAATGTGAACTCTTCAATCTGGTATTTGACTACTGTATTCTCTTGGAGCTTATTGTTGGTTTTGCTCATAGATGAAGAAGAAGAGAACCAAACCTTCATGGAAACTCATATGATGAAGAAAATAAAGTATGCCTCTTGAAAATATGACACCAGTTTCAGACAATATATACATATGTTAATACCACTGTCATCAGGGAGCCAAATCCAAACTCTGATCACCTTCTTAATGAGATTTGTCTAATATAAGAGCTCAAGCAGCCTATTGTAACCAGAACCAAAAATACACAATTAAAAATCACATAAAATCATATCCAAATTCAGAGAAATTATTTCTGAGAATTGCACAAGTCCTTTTTTTAAAAAAAAAACGGGTTAATTTCAAAGACAGCCTGCTACCCAGCTTAAAGATACTCACATACACTTTCATATCTCCCTGAAAAATTGTCTGTTGAAGTTTCTGACAGAGCTGGTGTTCATACGGGTGGTCCACTGGTATTTCTTATACTAGCATAAAAAATATCAGCCTTCCTTTTCTATTTCTCTTCCATCTCAATTTATCTTTTTTTACAGAGAGTTTGCACTCTGATGCTATACACTACAATGTAAAAGCCCCAATTGAAATAATGGTACCTGGTCCTAAAAAAACATTTAAATGTGATAATAAGCCCACATTTAGCCTTAGAAAGAAAAAAAGGCCTTTTCAACCTTAGCATGATAAAGTGTCTAAGAAATGTTAGGGAACACTGTCATAAACAGTCTCATACGAAGTTCATGCACAACTGTACAGAAGGAGCTGCTATCCTAATGGATACAGTACAGCAGTCTGTGGTTAATGGAGAGTACAGGATGACCTTTAAAAAGGAAAAGAGGGGGTTGAACAATGACATTTTCTTTCTCCAGCCTCTATTTCCAGCTAAATTAGTCGTGGCTTGCAACAGCTACTCTTCCCTTCTGCATTCCACAAGAAGAGAACACAGAAAAATTAATACCTTGGGCCAAGTCATATCTTAAATTTTTGTCTGAACATGACCCTGTGCAAAACATACAGCAATACTGAAGCTGGCATATGGAAATACCATAAAGCAGAGAGGAAATGGCACTCCTATAAGAAAAGACTTCAAACTACAGATTAATGTTACATGGCTACAACATTTCAAGCATGCTGTTTTACAGCTAGGGCTTCCCAGGAATTGGAAGCAAGCTCTTGTTTGAAGCTTAAGATAGCCTCCCAACACATACACAGTGTGCTTCATAATGCAACTCAAGACTTGATGAAAGGCTTTCTGAGAATAGAAAAGAACAATTTCTTTTTTTGCCTAACATTCTTTTCTTTTTTCCTCTAAGCATTAGATAACAATGAAATACAGCAGAGCCTGCATTCCTAGAAAAAAAGCATTTCTAAATTTTGAACACTAAAAAATAGCAATCCGACACATTTTACAATACCTGTCATTCTGAGATATTTTAAAACATTTTACAGTTGAAAATATTTGTCATAGAAATTCTGTGTTCTTCCATTTCAGTTCAGACATGGGGATCACAGTCAGGTGTTACTTCAGTCATGTTATAAATGGGTAATGCGATGGCTCTCACAATTAAGAGATTAATATTATGTGTATATTAAGAAAAGTTTTATAGATAGATAGTATGTTATTTTTATATGTTCTTCCCGTAGTCTTCTTTCCCTTCTCCCTTATATTGCTGTCAATAGTTGGGACATTTAGTGGAGGGCAACCTTGTTACTAGGAGATGTGGCATGGCAACACCTGACTACCAATCAGTTTGTAAGAAAGTGATCTCTACCAATGGATGGAAGAGAAGGAGTTGACTGACAAAACTTTGGGAGGGGCCAAGAGTTTAAAAAGCACAGCATCCATTTTGTAAATGAGTGTGTGGCTGCTGGTCACCAAGACTCTCAGCACTGTGAGATTGTTCCTTATTCAGTCCATTGTTGTATTTTTGTTAAGGTTTAATAAACTTCTGAAATTTTAAAAGTGAGCCTTGTTTGTCAAAAGTCATTAATGAAATTTTGCCATGCAATTGCAAGATGTGTTCTGTGCAAGCTGCAGAACTATGGAGTGGCCAAGCAATGTATTAACACTCATGACTGCAGGTCACTTATAAGGCACATTCCCAGCAATGGCTATGTTCTTAATTTTAACTTCCAAGCCTATTGTATAAAATGGTATAGAAACCTGACAAAAAAAGACAACAGAATGGAAAAAGAAGATTCTGTCATATAGAACAACTCCTTTTTCTGATAGGTCTAACTAAACAGATATTCAAGACTACAGTTACAGACATGATTGTTGAGGGATACATTGGTGCAAATAGCTGGGTTTGCAAGGATTGAGATGCTGATTTAAATGCAGATTGAGCCCTTTGTAGTAGCCTAAGACAAGAGGCTGTGAACTGGGTGGTGCCAGCCAGGTGAATGGACACAGACACAGCAGTAACAGTGAAGTGCCAGACTTTTGGATAACAGAAGGAAGGAAGACAAATGGCACCAAAAAGGTAGGAGGAAGAGGGAAGTCAGTGCAATATGTGGTATCAACTCCCACTTGATTTTTACCAGCTTAGCACAAGAAAAAAAAGTTTACTTACTTTCTGAAAGATTAGACACCTTTTTGCATTTTCACAGCTCCCAAAATATCATTAACACTTCTAAATATTTCATTCTGGCACATGTGAAAAGACATTGCTGAGGTTTCAAGTCTCTTCTAGGTTTTTAAGGGAAATTTGAATTAGATTAAAGCAAATGTTAACCCTAAATCAGGACCTAAACCTAATATTTGCATTAATACCTCAAGGATATTTTAGCTAGTACAACACAGATCACTCTGGTTTGACATAATTGCATTCACTCTGTTGACATGGTTATCACAGAGAGCCAAACCACAAAAACACAGTTCACAGTACTGTTAGTCTAGTCAGACAAAGTCTGGGCACTCTTGTGGGTCAGCCCAGGCATAAATTCTAGTTTGTATAGAGCTCTCAGTGATTTCCAGTCCACTGGGAAAAGGAAACATTTCTCTTTAGGTTTGTGTACTCACTGTTTTTTCTTCTGGGTTCCCATTGGGCACCTCCACAACTCTGAGATCATGGTCCATCTGAAGCCTTGCCCTTGTGACAAACTGGATGACCGATGAACTGTCCTGAGAAGTAAAAAGAGGAAGAACTGGACTTAACAACAACAACAACAAAAGCACCAACCCCCCTGTCAAAAAAAGCCCAACAAACCATCAAACAATTGCCAGTATAATAAATACACCCAGGCAATGCTTAGTGAAGGCTAGGTTGGCAGCTAAGTACCATCCTGGTTACAACTCTGCTTTGAAAAAATATACTTTATGCTCATAACAGACAGATATACCTGAGCACATTATTTCAGATTATAGCAAAATCAGGTATGTTAGACTTTAAATGCATACTTTGTATTTGGTTTGTTAATGTTTCCCACATTTGCCATGAAGCAAGACAGAGAATTTCCAATGACACAGGCAGGTTCAATATTAACTGTGAAAAATGTTCCGGTTTGTTTTTCAAGTGAACAGAAAAATGATATACAGAAACTGGGATAAACTACAATATATCCTGGGGGAGAACTTCTTATTAGAATCTGTGCATGGCAAATATCTTATTCACTATACAATTCCTCTCATTAATACATATTTCTCCAATAAAATGCCCAGTGCATTTTAACAGGCACATTTCAATAAGATGTCATTTCAACTTACACATTACTCACTTGTATACGGTTTGCCTTGGGAAGAGTATGTAATAAGTAGAAAACGGCATGCACTGGTGATACTCAAACGTGTAAACACTCTATGTCTTTTAAAGGAGTGTTGCTAAAAGTAATCTTAGAAGGGACCCAGCAATGGGATGAATCCTGGCTATTGCAAGGTTTGAATTTCCCAGAAGCATATTTTGCAGGCACTCAGTTACTTGTTTACGTATTTCAGCATTTCTATAAGCATGTAACAAATAGCTGAAACTTCCGGCCATGTCTGTACTTCCTTTTTTCAAATATGAACAAACATTAACAGACATACTGGTTTCAATTGGAAAACCTCAAGGCTATTAATTACTTTAGCAACTGTTTTCTAATAAGGGCTCTCTCTGACACTTTTTATCTCACAACTATGAAAGACAGGTTTATTTTAATAGGTTCATGTTATCAGCTTTCTCCTCCAATTATCTTATTCCCTCATAACCTTACAGCATCTTGCCAGAATTAGAGTCAGCATTTTTGTAAGTAAAGGAACATAGGTCAAAATGCAGTAAATCACAAAAAATTTAAAAGATTTACTGTCTCATTCAGCAGCTTCAGAGAAGACAGAAATTAACTGGCAACCATTTGTTTCTTGCCATAAATGTTAAGCTTAGCATTAATGTCGTCATGATGCATCTTCTTTGAATAATAACAATTTGAAGTATAAGTTACAAAATACTGCCACGTCTCTGTTTACACAGGAAGATAATACATAGCTGGTCACAGTTTACATTTACTTACATTTTTTAGAATGAAAACTTTCAGAAATCAATTAGATTTTCAGAAATCTCTAACCTAAACACCATGCACACAATTAGGGGTCTCATTTGTCATTTTTCAACGTATAAATTTCTGAACTAAATTTATTTCTATCTTAATGGGTAATGGGTAAGAACTAAGATTAACACCTCCATACACACTGTTAATAAGGAGATCTGTTTTGTTTGATACCATGATTATTTTTCACACACTAGTAAAGAGGAAGAAATGGAAGTTTTGAGTTCACTGGTTCACCTAAGCACACTTAAATTGGCATTGAAGACAACCTACAAAGAGGCCACGTACCTTCCTGAGTATCTCGGTATTCAGCAGCATGTAGATATTTATATCACAGGATTCTGCTTTAGGTAGTGAGCTTATGTTGCAGTGTACAATTAAACAAGATCTGCCTGGTCTTTCACAGTCCTACAGGAAATATGGAAAAAGTTGTTAGGCAAAGGAGGTAAAAATTACATGATAAATGATAAATTGTAAAATTCAATGATAAATTATAAACAGCAAACTTATAAACTTAGAAAACTAAGTTCTATAACTGCTATAATACAGCACTCTTGCACTGAAATAACAACTTTCAAGACCTGAAGATAGATGGCTACAGATGTCTGTGTGAAAGCGAGCCCGGTAAAATTCAGTCCTCTACAGTGCTGCTGAGCCAGGCAAGCATTCAGGACTGAAAGGAACAGGACTGCAGCTGCACACCAGCCCTTTGTGTGGGTCAGGCACCAAGTACAGTGCAGTGACCCACTGCCCCCATATGCCTTTGAGAGAACATGGGAGCAAAGGCTCTGGTTACCAAGTGTGTGCTGCCATGTCAACTAAACTCCTTTCCACTGCACTTCCTGAAACCTCCTATTTACTTTTAAAAAACAGACAATTACAATCACTAAATGTCCCCCCAGCACATCATCAGTGTTGTTATAATAATGAACTATCTGCTTCAGATCGTCATGCCAAACCATGCAAAATGTTTTGTAAAATATGCTGTATGTTCAAGTGGTGCCATAAGCAGTACTGTTTCTTACCAATACTTTTCTGCCAGACTTCGTGAAAAAAGCAAATATTGTGTGGAAAATATTTTCATTTTCTTGAGGAACAACACATGGGCTGTGGTTTCTATTGAAAGAACAGCTTCCTTTGTCCTGACCAACCTGCATGCACAATTATAAATCACAGTTATTATTCTGAATTAAAGAAATTATACAAGAAGGTTGAATTAGCCTGTCTGTAAAACCACACCTAAATCTGAGCTAAATGTCTGGACTCCTATTAATAGTCAAAAGACAAAAATAACCACCTCGGGAGTCAAATAAACCTAAAGAAAGTATCTGAAGTAGGCCAGATAATCATGCACTGGAAATGCTTTGACTGGACAGGATACGAATAAGTCTAACCTAGCTCACGTGTAGGTGTCTGTGTTCTACACGTCTGGAGATAGAGGAGAAAAGCCTCAGCAAAATACATGTTATGACATAGCATTTTAAATCAATAGTTGTCATTACAGAAATAGTAGGCAGAGTTTAGTATTAGGGCTTGTTAGAAATGTGGTTAGTAATTCGTGGAAATAAAAGATGTTTAAAATATATATGTGTATGAAACAGACTATTAGTACATGGTGGGGGGAGAGAAATCTTTCCTCAGGATGGAAAAACCGTGGCAGGATGGTGAAACCGCGGCAGGATGGCGAAACCGTGGCAGATGGGCAAGGAGGCACCGCGACATTTGCATTCGAAGGGAACTTCGGCTGCACGGGAGATGGGCATACACAAAGGCATGTGTCCAGTGACACCCGGGAGATGATGGCCCGGATGAGATACACATTTGAGATAACCAGAGCTATCAGCACCTGCCGTCTGAATGCCAGATTCCGGGAATTGGAGAAGCACATTGTTCAATTCCCGGATGAAGGCTTTGTGCAGCTTGGACTGAAGAAAAGACTGAACATGAATATGAAGACTTTGAAAAAGAGACAAAGGGACTCTGCCACGGGCGAATTAAAATGTATAAGAACCACGACCTGGGAGCAGCTGGTGTGGACGAGGGGAATTTGGTGCGATAGAGGCCAAATTCACGTTCACCCAGCTCACCGTCCGGGGGTGGTACGCTGTCCGATTGATTGGTGGCTGTTGGGACTGTATTACAGTCGCGAAATAAATTTTATTTTTAAATTTTTTTTTTAATTGGCTATTTTTCATTTTTCATTTATAACAGGCTGACCCAAAAATCTTCCTCTACATCAACCCGCACAAGTTTGTTTAATATTTCTTTGAGTCGGAAGCAGAATCTCTATGTTTTACCCCAATTCACAAAACTTGGAGGGGTGCTTTGTGCCTTTAAAAACAGGGGACAGAAACATGGAGCTTTCTCCCCTTCTTTCCAGGCTCTAAAGCATTTCAAATTCCCTTCAGCCGCTGCCATAGGCCATTTGCTGGGGATGGGACGGACTTGCCCGCTGTTGCCCGCAGCCAGCACACTGGAGGTCAGAGCCACTCCGCGAGTTCCAGCCGCTGCCGGCAGCCACGTGGCGCTAGGGAGAGCCCCTGGTGGGTGGCGTGGAGTAGGCAGCACAGCAGCATTGACTGCTTTTGGACAAAAATAGTTTTTCCAGATTTTTTTTTGTCCCTGTTCCCCACTGGTTATTCGTTTGGTGGAGCAGGGGCAGCAGGGAGTTTTGGAACAATGGAAGCTTGTTTGCTGTGTTGTTTCCTTCATTCTCTCTCAGCTGCATGGCCCAGGGAGGGGATTCTCCACCATTTTATCTGTGTTCCCCAGGACAGTCAGGGGGATCTCCTCCTCATTTGTGTGTGGGCGTTGAGCCATTTGCGGTTCATAGTTTGAACTGTGTATTTGTTGATTATTGCTGTTTTTGTTAAGTAAACTATTATTTTTTTCATTTGTATCTCTTTGTATTTGTCTTTCCTTATTAGTGGAAAGGGGAGAAGTTAAAACTAAGGGGAAACAACTTATTTCAGAGACCTCACCCTGTAAATTGTCTTAAACTAAGACAATAGCGTTACCTTTTGCACTACCTTTTTTTATGTTTTGGCCAACTCATGTGCATCCCTGTTTATATCAGAACAAGATAAATCTTTGTGTCTAGGCACTAAGTCTGTTATTTTATCTTTAGCAGAAATAATACAAATCCAGCTTTTTGAGTCATTAGCTTATTCACTTTCCCAAGAAAGTGGATGACAGAGCCAAGTAAGATTTGACAAGTACCAAACTGATAAAATGAGCTTCAGTCAAGATAATCTTGCTCAAGAAAAGCCTTCTCACTTTTTGCAACTTAGGAATATTTACTGAAAAAAAATTACCAACATTTAAGAAAAACTACGACAACAAAGTACCAGCAAATTCTTCCTGCTACTATTCTTAAAGCCTGTAAGTGAGAGAGGGAGATTTTCTCACAAACCACCAACTGACATTCTTGCACATACTGCTGTTCCTCACATACTCTGATAGGATAAAAGACTGAAAACTTGTACTTTATTCAATTATAAATCCTTGAAAGAGGGAAAGAAAAAGCTGTTACAGATACAAAATTACTGCATACTCTGAGTCTGATTCAGTATTACACCATTTGTGTTAAGTATTGTGAAAAAAAGAAACAAAACCCAAAGGTCTGTCTAGATTTTAAATACTATTTCCAGACAAGTGATATCTATGTCTCTTTGAAAGTGATATAGATCACCTGTCTGCTTCACTGGCCCACAAATTCTTCACAACCTGTTCTTTGCAGTATTTATTCACAACATGACAACGTAATCTCTCCTTACATTCCCAACATATATACCCAAAGTTTACAGTCTCCTTGGGCTCAACTGAAGATAAAGACTATGATTTGTCTAGGTCGACTGAAATGAGTTTTCATTATTTAGTTTAGGTAAGAGATTCACAAAGCCCACGGACATTTATTTCTTTGATCTTTCACAGGGAAATTAGATCCATATCAACTGGAAGGCTTATGTTAAATTAAAACCAGCAAAAAGTTAGGATCTATTGTGATAGATGAGTTATGTGATGACTGACCCTCACAATTAACAGACAAATATCATGTATGCAAGTTAAGAAAAGTTTTATAGATTTATAGTTATGTTTTACTCCTTGCATTGTTACCAAGAGACAGCCAGGGCTGGGACATTTGGGAGGGTCAGCTTGTCAGTATGGTGACATCTGCCCTCCAATCAGGATTTGAGTAAGAACTCTGCACCACTGAGCAGCAAAGAAGGGGTCGATGGACAGAACTTTGGGAGGGTTAACGGCTTAAAAATGCTTGCCCATTGTGTGGGCAAGCTCATGGTGGGGAAAATCCTTCGCTCCTGGTGCCGTAGCCTTTTCTCTATTCAGTATTCTGTTGTATTTTTGATAAGGTTTAATAAACCTTTCTAAAATTATGAAAAGTGAGTAGCTATTTCTCACGTCTATTCAGTACTTGTTCTTTATTCCTGAAAGTTTAAATTACAGATGCCATTAGATTTATGCAAGAGATACAGGAAGGACAGTGCAAGTTTCTGTACTGTACAAGCTTTTGGCTTGTACAGTACAAAATTCCTAAATAGTCTTGATTGAGATCTTGTAAAAGTACAGTGTAAAAATAAGCCAATGTAGAAATGTCTTACAAGACTAAAAGGAATGGTCTAGCATGAAGCAACATAAACCTTGTCCTTTCTACTTGGAAGTTACTATCTTCTCTTAAACTGAAGATTGGCATCATTTTTAAAACACTTAGGTGAAACAGAGAAAGGCACCTTCAGAGGATCAACTCTGAACTTGGAAATACCTTTTCCTCTCCCCCAACTACACAGCAAACCTATATGAGGTGGATTATAAATTCAGTGTTTCAGTCCCTAGTAGGAGGGAAGCATGCAAGAACTAAGCACCTCCTGTTACCTGCACTGTTCTGGAACAGATCGTCAGGTCACCTATACTCTGTTTTAGCAGCCAAAGCCAGTGGCTACTTCCTAGAAGGCAGACACTGCTATTTGGCCAGCAGAATTTGGGGGAATTCAACCAGGCAGAAATTACATTACACTCATCTGTGTACCTGTAATCAATCAGCATGTGCTGACAGCCAGCAGGTGAGAAAGGATGCAAGGTGGTTGAGCAGCAATCCATTTCTTTTAGCACTCTTGGAAGCCACAGAGCCACAAAACGGGGAAAAAAATTAACAAAAAATTCTAAGTGGATGGATCATGCTAAGGTAGAAGCAAATGCATCCTTTTCAAAGGACTGGCTACAGTTGATTTGGTGGGATATTTTTTATGGTTTTTGGTTTGTTTGTTTTGTTAGGATGACTGTTGGACACTTATATTTCACATCATGTGTTATTCTCAATTTTTACATGCATAAGTAAACCAGCCAGAAAAACTTGTGGCAACTTTTCAATAAACTTTGTTTTCAATTAAATATTAATCTGTAGAAAGAAAACTAGTTAAATAAAACTTACCACAAAACTCTTTGCATTGCACTGAGACTGAATGCATCTCTGAAATACAAATAATGATTTGTATTGTGAGCCTCCTTGTGAGTTTCTTCTTGTTCAAACATGATGCTATCCCAGCCACCTTGTGGTACACAGACAAGGAAATTTCTGGCCAAATGTTTATGATTTATAGATGCAAGAACTGTACAAGTCTTTGAAATGCAGTAGGAAGGAAACCAAGCTCTTCATCAGACTTGAAGTTTCAGGGTACCTGGCATTCCAGAGCTTTTTGAAAATTTCCATTTCTCCATTTCTCAGCAGGCTATAAACAGAAAAAGAGTACCACCAGAGTGGTCTTCCCAGGATCCAGTATCTAACATCTTACAGAAACAGCAGAAGGGCAGTGCATAGGATGTGGAAAGAGATGTGCACTGCTTTTGTAGTCAGTGCAAGAACTGTACAGAAGCCACAGAGAAATGTCAATATCTAACTCCTAACACAAGTGAACAACTGGGGCAGGGAACAAGAGGCACAAAAGGTAGGCTCTCTTAAATCCTACATTAAGACTACAGATTGGGAAATAAAAACCTTTCCCGAGAGAGGTACCAAGTAGATGTAGCCCTGCAGCCTTCCAAGAAGGGACTTGAAGGAGCTTTGTTGGAGCTATCTCTGTTGAAGGTTGTTACATTCTGTTTTCCAGAAACTACCTATTAAGTCCTGAATAAAATA